CACAGCTCTCCCCTTAAGGAGCAAAAGCAAAATCTTTCTGACTTTTGAAAAGGCTAGTTACTGCATTTCTCTGTCCCTCTTTTCCAGCCAGACATTTCAGGAATTATAAACTTCTCATCTTTCTTTTGAAGCTTCTATTTAAGCTGTTAGAAATGTGTCACATAAGACCTTCCAGGATAAATGAAATAAGTTGCTTGATATTTACTTCCGTTTTTAAAATAGACACCCAGACCCTATTACATTATTATGTTGATGATGGTGCCTAATGTGTTTAGCTTTTGACCATATTTCTATTTTGTTATTGCACAATACTTCAATTATCATGCAATAAACATTTGACTTTTACAACACGCACAGTTGCGGTGACGTATCTTCCTTTTATGATATGGTTATTGCTCTTTCTAGCTTCCTCTTCGCTGCTGCTCTTGCTGCCTGACCAAAAGAGGAGGTTGTTTTTTACTCAGTTTTTTTCTCCATATCCCCTTTTTCCTCTTAATGAAGAAAATTAACACATTTAAAAACTAAAGTAATAGAAATGAAAACTATATATATTCCAACATAATGTTCCAATGAGTTTTATTTGTCATTTTAACACATGTTGACATAAAAGGAAATTCTTTTTTTCCGGTTCCAGAGAAGCCCATGTCAAAGCATGAAATAGTAAAATAACTATAAATAACTTGATGTATAAATATTGTATAAAATATGCAGAAATCAACACCGAATAAACGTTTCATTTTCAGTCAAAGACGTTGTTAACTACGGAAGAGGATTAGGGCCACTGGAAAAAAAAAAAGTTAACTGACTTTTAAATTTTATTTCAGTTTAACATGGGAAAAAGTCAGAATTCTGACATTTTTCTCAGAATTCTGACTTTAATCTCAGAATTGTGACTTTTTTTCTCAGAATTTTGACATTTTTCTCAGAATTCTGACATTAATCTCAGAATTCTGATTGAATTCTGACAATAAAAAAAGTCAGAATTCTGACTTTTTTCCCATGTTAAACTGAAATAAAAATAAAAAATCCGTTAACTTTTTTTTTTCCAGTGGCCCTAATCCTCTTCCATAGCTAACATATCAGCTGCATAATGAATGTTGATTCAACTGCTAGGAATTGACTAAAGACCAGAACAGACGGACTTAAATAAACTTTGATGTTGCCTTGCTGTCTGAGCAGCTCAGTGGGCTGAAATATTTCCTCATGAAAATGCTGTTTTTTTCGCCGTCATCTCCGCCTGCATTTGTAGCTCAATGTGCTCCTTTTCCAGTGACTGGAAATGTCATGGTTTTGGTTCTGTTGTGCTTTACTTTGCTCCTTGTTTTCTAGTTTTATTGGTTTAATTCCTATTTTGTTGTAATTTCTAGATTTATGTTCGTTCTCAGGTTTTTCTGTTGCCCTCTTGTGTGTTTTCCTTTCCCCTTGGCTCCCTCGTTGTCTCCTCACACCTACTCCTTGTCAGCTCGTTAACCCTGCCTTTGTCTCAGTCAGTTAATTATCCTCTCCCTCTGCAGTCACTCCTTGTTGGTTCCTTGTTGTTGCTGGTCCTGTCGTCGCCGTTGTCCTCTCACCTCATCTCTCCCTGGCTCCTTGTGCGTGTTTCCCTTGATGTCTCCGTGGTTCTGGTCTGAGTTACATTTTAGTTGGATTTTGCCTCTGTTATTAGTGTTTTTATTAAAACTACAAGAAATCCCCTCAGCCTCTCTGCCTCTGCATTTTGGGTCCTCTTAACTACAACCAAGACGTGACAGGCGCCATAGTAACAGGAGCACAACGTCACTTAGCTGTTATGCATCAGAGGAGCTATTTATCATATTGAAATTTCACAGATTTGACAGTTATTTTTATTATTTATTTTTATAATCATTGATCAATACTATTATTATACATTAGGAGATCCCCTTAATTGTAGTTCTGAAAACATCCAGCAGATGCCGCCGTTCTAAACTGTATCAAATATATCAAGCATGGTGTGGAGTTTTGGCCAATTGTGTCAATTTGGTTCATGGGGCTTTAAAATAGCCATCATTAAGTGCTAGCTGTGCCTTTTTCTTATACTCCTCCTGATTAGGTGGACTAAGGAAAACCTGCTGTACTTTTAAATCTCCTGGCGCCACCTAGTGGAGATGATGAGAACAGGCAGGGCGCCAAAAACCACAAGAAGAATAGAAGCAGAATTAAATTAAGTAAAGATAAAAAACATGATAAAAGCAGGAAGTAAAACAAATACAACAGTTGGACCAAAACTTTAACTAATTAAACCTCAGTTAACAGTTTAACTTGAACAGCTCTAAAGAAACAAGGAGTTTTTTCCAGATCAGTGGAGCACAGGAACTAAGTGCTGCTTCTCCATGTTTGGTTCTAGTTCTGGGTGGACAGAGTGGGCTGGAACTAGAAGACCTGAGTGGTCTGGGAGGTTGATCCACTGACAACAATCTGTTATGTATTGAGGTGCTGATCTATTCAGTGATTTATAGACTAATAGAAGGATGTTAAAGTCTATTCCCTGAGATACAGGGAGCCAATGGAAGGACTTCAGATCCAGGCTGATGTGCTCTACTTTCATTGTTCTGGTGAGAACATGGGCAGCAGAGTTTTGGATCAGCTGCAGCTTTCTGATGGACTCTTTAGGCAAACTAATGAAGATGCTGTTGCAGTAATTAATTCTACAAGATAAATGCATGAATGAATTTTTCTAGATCCTGCTTGGACATTAGTCCTTTATTCCTGGAGATGTCTTTCAGCTAATAACAGGTTGACTCTGAGGGTTCAGGCCTGAGTCCATCATGACACCAAGTTTACGGCCATAGTCGGTGGTTTCTAGCTGTCGTAGCTGAAGCTGTGAGCTAACTAAGGAGCTCTCCTCCTTTGGTCCAAAGATTATTACTTCATTTTGTTTTTATTCAGTTGGAGAAAAATATGTTGCATCCACATATTGATCTGTTTTATGCATCTATTTTATATGGATGTCATTGTAAGAATCATTTTATAAATAAGTATGAATAAGAATTACTAGTTATTTATCATTATGATGACATTTGAGGCTTATTAACTCTACTGACAGGGGCGTGCATACATAGACACTAGGTGGTGCTAAAGCACTAGGAAGTTTGCCCTTTATCAACGAAAATGCCCTTTTGAAACTCTTTTTTTTATTAAGATTTTACTGAGGTCGGTTTCGAAATGATCTTTTGAGCCATTAAAAACGACTGAAACAATGCCCCGAAATGAGCCACCTCCTTGCGCACACCCGACCAGCCTATCTCTCTTTCTTTGTCACGTGAACTCGCGCGGTCGCCCGCAGGGCATGCCAGATGCGCAGCATCATAGCAGTTCAGTAAGCGTCTTCAGATAGCAGGGACGGTCGCTGACAGGCTGCTTCTCCCGTGCCCCATTAGCCAGGTAATATACAGATCAAGCAGAATCATTTTGTTGTGCATTAAAATGTCTCGTTCAGCAGCACCAAACAAGCATTTTTGCCGACTGGTCACCTGATAAACTAGTTAAACTAGATAAAGTTTTACACTGTAGCCCAAGTCAATGACAGATAACGTGAGGACGACCACATAGGCTACAAATAATTTCGGTAGAGTTTGCAATTTCAAATCTATGTGTTAAGACAAACGTTTTCTGTTGTATAGGTTTTGTTAGGCAACATAAATTAACACATTTTGGTCTCTTTATTGTCTTAATTGTATATTGATTTAGTAATTGCAGCACAATGCCAAGAAAGGAGGGTTAATCGTATTGAAAAATCTTAAAAGCTGTTCACATTTTATTTTTAAGTGGTTTGTACAAAATCAGCAGGTATTAAAATAGCTATTATTTTGTAGGCTACCATAAGTCATATCCACGTGACAAGACTTCCAGTCATGTTGCCCTAATAGCCCAATATTTAAACTAATGTGGCATATTTGTTAAAGCTATTATTATTATTATTATTATTGTCACGATGGTTATTTTTATTATATTGTAGCCAGTCACAGCAGGGAAGCTCTATACCATCAACATCTACCAGGACAGGAGATGAGGAAGAGTTCAGGGAAGACACAGAGACAGAAAAAGACCAGGATGAGGGAGAACAGGGAGATGAGCCAGATGAAAGAAGAAGAAAGATGAGCAAGCGTACTACTTTAAAGTAGTACGCTTTAGTCTGTTCTGTTGGTGGTTTGACTTTTTTCCATTGAAAACTCACGTTTAGAGAATGTTACAAATAAAAGTCAAATTTCCTTCAACATGCGCGTGTATTTTTTTTTTTATAATTAAGTGTTCCACGTGCGCTAAAAAGTGCCCTCCCCCACCTCCTGAACACAAACCCCCCAAAATGTCTGTGCACGCCTCTGGCTACTGAACTAAAATATTAACATTTCTGTCGTTAAACAATAAGCATAAATATTAAAGCTTAAATATCCAAACTGGAAAAATTTAATTATGGCACGTACACAGAGAACCAGAGATCAGAGGGATGTTTTAAAGCAAAAGTATGATTAAAATGACAGTTAAAAGGAAGGATTGTAGCACTTTTTATGCGCCTTACTAAAGCTTATAGTGCACCATCCATTTCTATCCCATGTCTCTAACATTTTTGGAACCGTATGATATTTAGTGAGAGCACCGTGTACATTACTGAATGAAGAGAAGGGGCAATCAAATGTGTCAACTCAGAGGGAACCGAACCATCTAGTCAACTTCTATTGATGACTTTGACTTTACATTCAGGAAGGCTCTAAACCATCAAAATAATTACTTTTTGCTAACAACAGCTGGAATCTTTATTATTATTTGGACTGTTTTTAGAAACATTAGAGACTTCAGTGGAAGAACAGAAATTTATAATGAATTTTGCATAAAGGGCCCCTTCAGTAATTCAGCTTATGTCGTATTCCATATCATGTTCCACCCCATTTGAAAAAGTTCAGTACTAGCAGGCGTAACAAAAGGTAACAGAATAACATGTAAATTATTGGTTAATTCAAAGTGCTTAAAGAAACAAACAAGCCTTTGTTTGAGTTTTCCTTTATTTGAATTATACACTGTGTGGAGCAGTTGGACATGCTTCACTTTTAAGCGTTAAACTCATGCTGAGTTCAGTCAATTATAAAAATAATTAAAGAAAACGTTTTTATTTCCACTGAAGCGTTTTGACACAATTTACAAAACTGAATGCTACACAGCTGCTAATATTTTCCTTCAAAGGTATAAGTTGGACAATAAAGTGCAGATACTTACAACCTACAATAACGAGAATATTGCAGACTTATACAAAAAAACTACATACCTTACATACTTTATTTATTATAATAACACAAAATATTTCAAGCACTCTTTAAGACTGATAAATCTGAACATCTCTTCATTAGAAAGCCTTGGAAATTCTCAATGTAACTTTCTAAAATGTAACAGTATAGAAGGTGTAACATCTAAGATCAGTAAAAAATCTGAGGATGATTTTTGTTTTCATTCAAAGCTAAAATAAACCATAGCTTATTCATCGGCCATTTTTGTTTCAGTACTCAGAGAAGCTCCCAAGTGAACCCAGACATTATAAAATAATGATCAAAAACATAAATATACTAAGAATAAACTGAATATTGTTATTTTTTTAAATAAATGAGAATAAACTCAAGAACACTTTTATTAAACAGGTTAAAATAAAATGACAGAAGGTTTTCAGTATTAAAATTGCAGCCATGCTTTAAGAAAAAGGTTTAGCCCGTCTTGTTGAAACAAGTTGGTGTGACAATAAACACGAGTTGCATCGACGTTGAACAAAGTGTGGTTAAAAGCCGTTTGCCTGATAAGCTAGCCAGTTTGCTGCCACAAAGGCACTGCAAACCAGGGGATTAACTTGTCTTATCTTAAAGCTGTGGTGAGTTTAAACCAGCTGCATGTTTTTGAGAGCAAATAAAAGGTTTCTCTTGTCAAGGAGAGAAAGACTCCCTATGGATAAAATAAATAAATAGTAAATCAGTTAGAAGGAGCAGTCTTGCAGAGGAATGCTTGCTTCCAATTATAACTATAAAAGATCTTACATTGCATAACGGAAAATATGCAATCATACTTACATCTTCAGGTGTGAACCTGGGGAAGGAGTTCAGATTTTAGAGCTTTGAGTCTGTGAGTCAGTGCTTTGCATGGGGGCTGACTCTTTAATGTTTTTCAGAGTCAAAACAAAGTAAATGAAGATGAATAAACCTGCAAAATACAAAGGAGTGAAAGAATGAGCTTAGATTTGGAAGAGTGTACAGGAAGGAGGCGAGGCTCATGCAAATCATGCAAATGTAAAATATAAACAACAAACTTTCTCAGAACATCAAAAGTATTGATTTTACAAACACTAGAGGTAACAATACAACAAGGACAGATCTACAGGAGGGCAAGGGGGGACAACTGCCCCTAAGCAGCCATGTTATTATTAACTAATCCCATCTTTGTTCAGAGGCATCTTACAGCCTTCAGATAAAACATGAATTTACCAAAAAAAAAGTTTTATATATATTTGCATTTTACACTGGGAAAAAAAATCAAAATCTAGATAAGTTCTTTTTTTTTTTAAATAAGTGAATTTGTTCTTGGATTGAGAAGGTAAAAGACACATTTTGCCAATGGAACAAGGCAATTTATAATTATTAAATAAAAACAATTGCATTGTCTTATTTCAAGTGCATTTTATCTAATTATCTTATTTTGAGAGTAAAAAGACTAATTTTATTGGCAAACTAGAGACGGTAAACTACTCATTTACCTACTCAAAACAAGAGTAAATACACTTAATTTAATACATTTTTACTCACTTCTAGATTGTTTTTCCAGTGTATATCCAATATGTAGAATAATACATTGGCTACCATTATGACGATATTTCTAAATAGAGCTACTTATGTGGAAATGTGATAAATTCTGGTTTCCTATTTTGATAAACAGGCATAAGTTCTCTAAATTTAGTTTTAGTTTATCTGTGAGAGATTTATGTCCAACATTTCCACTCTGACTGGATCAGTGGGGGCGCTGGGGCACCGGCCTCCCTGATAAGAAGAGAGAAACGTAAAATATATTTCTACAAATTAACTCATAAATGTCAGTTTTACTCTCTAGAGTGTGTACCTATAAGCAAAACAAATTATATAAACTACATTTCCCTACCTACGGTCGTTCATTTGTGGATTTCCACAGACAGACTCCTACCGTCTCTGTCTTGGGGCGCTGATCAGACTGCCCCACATGTGCAGAGAATCTGCCAATCATGTACTAAATCATGGCCAATCAGCGTCTCAGAACTTTATGGTCTTGGGGCTCTGAAAATACTGCCCTTTAACAGGCTTCTGCACCCAAGCGCAGGTGCAGACAATTAGAGGGACGATGGCGAACGTAACGAGCGAGATGCAGCTTCCACCAAATTCGGTGAGATCCTTATTTATCTACCCGTTTGCCAGAAGAACATCCCTGTTGTAGGGTATGAAAATTTCATGCCATGGTTATTGTGACCAAAATCATCACCATTACTGTCATTATATAGTAAATTAAATCATTACTGTTAAATTGTATTTCATTTCCAATTGTTTATTTTAATTCTTATTCTGGATTAGTTGGAGACATACACTAGGCTATATCAGCCCCACCAAAAATATTTTTCACCAGCCGCCACTGGACTGGATATATTGTGCCACTTTGGCCCGCCCCATGAAAATATCCTAGATCAGCCACTGCAGTACATGTGTTTTTATACCTCTAAATTGCAGCCATAATTTCTAAACAGTTTTTATGTATCACAACATACATGCGACATTATATTGTGATACAATAAAAAACCTTACCGAAATGCATTATATACAAAACACTTAAACTAACCTTGCAATGAGTTCACAATGCAGAAGATGTAGAGGACAGGAGTATTCACGTAGCCCAGTGAGAAGAAGATCAGGCCCCAAGTGAGACCAAGCAGAACCATGAGAACCAGCAGGGTGAACATTTTTTTCTTAGCTGCATTACGCTCAGCTTGTCTGCGCTACAGAAAGTGAGGAGAAAAGCAAAGTCATTGCAAAACCAAGAAAACCAAAATACGGAAATGCAAATGATCAGATTTGGATAAGAAAAAAATATCTAAATATGCAAATTTCACAGGCTGAAAATCAAATAATATGAGCATCATGTTAGTTCATCCAACAAGATGTAAACGAGAAGTCCGCTCATATTCAGAATTCAAACTTCGGAAAGTACTTTAAATAAAAAATTAAAATGATCAGTGTTTTTAATTCAGAGTAATTTTCATGTGAATGTGCTTTACTGGAGGCATCCATGTTTGTCAAAGAACACTACTGCCACCTACTGGTTAGTGACGTCACGGTGCGGTATCGGCTGTTGATCAAGTCCCAGTGCTGTATCTGGTGTTTGTCACAACGCGCTATTATCCAAGTCATCTTGAAAACATTCTTCTTCCAAATGTCGGCTACATATTACGTGTTTTTTCTCTGGCCAGAAGTTCGATGGCAAATCCTCCCTCTTCAAGTTGGCGATCCAACGACCAACCCGTCCGTGGAGGATCAGGAACCAGAAAGGTGGAATAACTCTTTTTTTCCACTTTTCCCCGATGTATTCCAGCATCCAGCTGCCATGCACGTGGGCATTGTCAGTTTCACTATAGCTCTGGTGAATTTCAATGGTGAAGTCCTCTGGAAATCTTCAATAATTGTTGTTGATTGCAGATGTGTCTAGTAGCTCCCATTGATTTAGCTTGTAAAGCGGGGAGAATGGCGCTAGGCTTACCGCACCGTGACGTCACTGCTGGAAGATGGCAGGAGGGAGGGGTTACTATGTTTGGGCAAAAATGGCCGCTCCTAGACTCAGTGATCGCAACGAAAGTTATTATTTTATATTATAACTTTATAATATAAAGCTATGCTATTCCACGCCACAAGGCAAGAGGGACAATCAGGAACTAGCTGTGGGTCTATATACAGTCGATACGGAGGGACATGAGGGCCAAAAAGAGCGGGGATCCAGGTGGAAAAAGGGTCCCAGCGTTCCGGCGCACCTCGCTATTCTAGCTGGTCCATCTTCATGAGTCGTTTTCCACAATGGCGATGATAAAAACAAAACAAGCCGGTAAGGAACCAAACAGGAAATACGCATAGAGTAGAGCGGATGTAGATTTGACCAATCAGAGGCCTCCTGTCTGTGGTCACCTACAATTTTGGAGAGGTGCAGCAGAGTGTCTGCGGTAGGGGCGGGGCATATCTGCGTTCACTGCGACACACGCAGACGACCTGGTTTCTGTGTATAAAGTAGGGATGCACGATATTGGGATTTTGGCCGATATCCGATATGCCGATATTTTAAAACTCATGTAGCCGATAACCGATATCGATACCGATGTTAAAGCTGGACAAAAATAAGTAGTCATTGAAAATAGCAGTTTTGTTATCCATTTCTGACACTTTGAAAAATAATATACTCAAATATATTTTCATATGCTGATATCAAATAGATTTCTTAAAACGCGGTATCGATCTATTTTACTTTCAAAATCTGGTGAAATTTCATCGTTCTGTTACAAACTCTCGTGATATTTTGCAAATTCTTGTGAGATTTTGTTAGTAAAATAGATCGATACCGCGTCAATATATCAACATATAAAAATATGGCAACATTTGGTGAATTTTCGGGGGATTTCGTAGCATAACGATGACATATAGCAATATTTCATTAGTAAAAGAGATTGATATGGTGTTTTTAAATGGCAATATATCAGCATATGAAGATATTGGGATATTTTAATGTATCAATATTTTTTCCCTCGTCTTTAGAAGTTTTTAAGTCTGTAAAAAAGAAGTTTTTGAGGAAGAAGAAGAAGTAGTATTTTTATTTATTTTTTTTTTAGACTTTAGAAACTCAGAAGCTGATCAAATATCGGGTTAAATATCGGTGGGGTGGCCAATGTCCGATATTTAGTTTTAAGGCCGATTATATGCATCCCTAGTATAAATCAGCCTTTATTCTTCTACTTCACTTTTCCCCCCAAACACCAGACGTCATTTAGATGTTTTTAGGCTAAATCTGGTCGGTCCGTCATAGTCTTGATTTAGTCATGAAATAGTTGTTAAAAATTGGGCTGCATTTGGTCAGTCTGATTTTGTCCCACTTTTGTCCAATAGTAGTCATTGCATTGAAAAACCACTGGAACTCCAGTTTTTAATGTCCTGAAAATTACAGCTTTTCACCTTTCACTTTTCAACCAAATGTAGACGTTTGGAGGTAAATCATGTCATCTTTTCGTTGTCTTTTCAACCAATTTTTGCTTGGTGGCTTGAATCTCCTCCTCAGGGATTGGCGTCAAGCCCTGAGGAAGACCCAGGAAACAGAACTTCTAGATATTCTCCCTTGACCTGATGCAACCTGCTATAAATTTTCCTTGTAAGTGTTTGCATGTGGGTTAAGCATTTAAATGCCAACATGACAGATATAGAGCCTGATGAAAAGGCCCAGCATAATTTACCTTAAGACTTTTTCTCATAATGAATTTCCAATCCATTTCACAAATAATGCCCTTTCACCAAATATTTACACCCTTTCCAGTAGGGGTGGAACGGTTCACAAAATCCACGGTTCGGTTCACGATTTCGTTTTCACGGTTTTCGGTTCGGTATATGTTGATTGTTAGCCTGACATGTTGGTCGTGTTGCCGTTAGCATAAACAAAACGTGTTGCACAATGCTTGCACACTGTTGCACTTTTATCCACATCTTTCTTCCCGCCGTCATCGTAGGTCACTCTAAATGCAAAGCGCTCCCATACAGCAGACCTATAAAGTGCTGCTGGCGCGTCTTCCAACTCCTGTTCTTTCCCACTCGCCATACCCACACAATTCTTCACAACAACTGATTTTTTTCTGCTACACCCGGCTAAGCTGCTTCGCTTCTTCTTCTTCTTGTTTACTACTGGTGGTTGGCTTTGGTCGCAGTACCGCCACCTTCTGCTCTGGAGTGGAAACGCTTCGCCTATGAGAAAAAGGAGCAGCGCATGAACCGAACGCAACACACGCGAACCGAACCGAGACAGTCGAACCGAACGGTTCGGACGGTTTTCATAAACTGTTCCATCCCTACTTTCCAATAGTTAAACAAACAAAAAAATACCTTTCTTAGCATGATCTCAATAAAACTTGCAAGGAAAAAGGGTTATTTAACATTAACTGTAACTCCGACAAGTGCAATAGTTGAGCATGAACACAGCTGGTAGAGTATAGTCAGAGTTGAGTTCAGGTCAGACACATCAGTCTTACTGCCCTCTAAGTTTTTTACCAGTGGCGGCACTAAAAACACAAGCTATAGCAGACAGGAGCTCTAATCATCACTGGTAAACAGTACCAGACTCTACTGGCTTACTTCTACCCCTACAACAGTACCATTTATGGCTAAAGCCATTCTCTGTGTGCTTAGACAGAATCAATTGATTGTGTTACAATTACCTCTTTGCTGAAGTGTGGCCCCATGAACCATTTAATCAACATGCCGAACATGATCAAATTAAAGACGAACACCAAGCCGAACACTCCCACCGTGGTCACAATCTTAACTTTTTCATCGGTTATGTAGCATCTGCACAAAAGGAGACAAATTACACATTTTTTCGAAATATTCAATGAAAAAAGAGAAGTGAAAACTGTAATCACGTCTATAGTTAAGGAAACAGCATGATAGAAAAGCAATGAATTTTAGCTTAGCAGAATGATCAGTTAGGGTCACTTCATGCTTCTCTTCACTTTTTTTATGCGGTTGTGTTGAACTATTCAAATATACAGGAATAAATGTAGGTGCAAAACAGCTAAGAATAGAATAACAAGAATATATTTCACAAGTTTTGATATTTCTTACACTTCAGTGTCATTAGATGAGTCCAAAGGGGTACGACCATAAGTGTTTTTATCTCTGATCACCACCACTGCCACTATGACAGCTGGAACACCTGAAATACAACAACTACATGCTTAACTTAAGGCTGCAGACACGTACTCTCCAGACTGAGATGATACCACTCACCCCATCCCACCACACTAAGTTTGAGCAGGTATCTCCTCACATAGATGTTAAAAACCTTAACCAGGAGAAGATAGAGGTGGAAGCCCTCCAAGGCCATCCAGATGAAAGAGGCCAACAGGGAATAATGAAGCAGAAGAGCCACATAGAGACAAAGCTCATTGTAGGACGTTCTTGCCACTGCCTGGCTGGGGAGGAAGTGAACGTTTAGGAGGATCAGAGCGACCGTGAGGCTGATGTGGATCTTCTTGGAATCATCGCCTCTGACCTTCCTGTCAAACACAGATGTTGTCTGTTATCACTGATAACTTAGAACAAACTGTTTCTGAGGAGTCTATTATAACTGGATGTTGAAGTATTTTGAAGATAAATTATGTTTATTATTTGTAATGTTGGCTTCAAATAACAAGGGTTTACAGTCTGTGAGCTGTTTATATTATATATTTTCTGATGTTCAAGTGCTGTCCCAACTCGGTCCATTTGATTGAAATAACATAAACACCAATAAATACCATTGATGGCTTGATAATCATTCATAACCACACAGAAAAGTAAACTAACCAGATATAAGCAGGGATGCCATCCATGCATTTCGGTAGAATACAGTGCCTACCTGTTGGTGATGAAGAGTAAAACAGTGATGACCAGGGCAAAAAGAGAGATACCGCACCCGATGTAGGTGATGTAAGACAGGATCTCAGCATCTTTTGGAGAGATATCTGTAGACACCTGTGGGGGACATACACTCAGATCTCAGGCTGTTGTTGATCTACGCTTCTGTTCATTTTAAGAGCAATAGACTGCAGCTGAATTTGATTTGTTTAACTTTACAAACTGGGCACAAAAAGATTTAGGTTTTTCTACTGTTTTAGTGTAAACATCATACAAACTCAGAATGTATTTACTACCTGTCTAGTAAAGGTTTTTAAAGTCTATGAGGTAAATAGTTAAACTGCTATAATAAAAACAGCAGATTTTGCTGAGGTCCTATCCAGCTCTAAATACAACTTTTACATTAATAACATTTAAGCTGCTATGCAATTAGTTCCGCCATTGTTTAACTTACACTGCAAAAAATCAAAATCTAGATAAGTCATTCTTTCTTAAAATAAGTGCATTTGTTCTTGGATTGAGGAGGTAAAACAGACATTTTGCCAATGGAACAAGACAATTTAGATTTAAAATAAGAAAACACAATTGCATTGTCTTATTTCAAGTGCATTTTATCCAATTATCTTATTGTAAGAGTAAAAATACTCATTCCATTGGCAAACCATCTCATTTACCTGCTCAAATTTAGGGTGAATACACTTAATTTAAGACATTTTTACTTATTTCTAGATCCTTTTTTCAGTGTACTCATTACAATAAAATAGGCATAGTTAAGAAAGGACTTATTGTTAGTAAACTGGTCCTAGAATCCAAGTTGAGAATATGTTAAAAATGTTCCTGATGTTCTTTGCATTCCTTTGGCGTCTGTTTCTCTGCTGTCGGTGAGACGTACCGCGTTCACTTCCTGTTTTGACTGCTGACCTACATTCTGTGGTGCTGCTCACGCTATCTCCGTCTGATCTAAGTTCTCTTTTCTGTGATATCTCTAAGCTACTCTAAATGTCCAGAAGCTCTTTTAAACCACCTGGTTTCACCTGGTTGCTCAGGAAATGACAATGTGACAGTAAGCAGAATGCATAGTTGTAGATCTCTGCCCACTGGTAACCACCAACCGGACAACACTTCTAACCAATTTTCCCAGCTCAGTGACATACTCACTGGGAAGCCCACTCTGGTAATTGGCAGCTCCATAGTCAGAAACTTGGCGTTAAAGGCACCAGGGACCATAGTCAGGTGTTCCCAAGGGGTAAGAACGGGCAAAACTAAATCCCACCTGAATCTGAGGCCCCGTCCACACGAAGTCAAAACGAACACGAAGCGCTAATATTTTCCAGAACGTTTGTCGTAAAGACGGAGACGTAAAATAAATGTGAGCGTCCACACGAATGCATGAAAACGCTGCAAAATGTATGCCAGGCCTGTAAGTGGCGCTGTCGTGCCAAAGCAAAAATAGGCGACGAAATGTTGGGCATGCGCAGTAATATTTATACATGGTTGCCCTGCGGGTCCATTTTCGTGGTTCAGTCAAATTCAGGTGCCGAACTATGTGGTCGATATTGCTCTGTTCTTCCTGGAGATATTCCAGAAGAAGAAGATTCTGTTGTAAGCCCGACAGCAGGGTGAGTAGCATGAGCAGCAACCATTCAACACAGTACGGCACCATTGTTGTTGTGATACTGGATCGCGCATGCGTGTTTAGAGGCGACATATAAAAAATGCGGTTAGAGCTTAAAGATGGAAACGCGAAAACGGCGTTTCAAAATCCTCCCACTCTGAAGGCTGAATAAAAAAAAGATCGTTTACAGACCCCCGAAACGCCGGCTTCATATGTATGAGAGGCTGGTTTGGTGAAAAATTTGTGCGTTTAGGCCAGGGTTTGACTTCGTGTGGACGGGGCCGGAATCCGGATAAGGTTAAAAAGTAAACTTGTTACTCCCACTGGCGATACAGACACATAGTTAAGCTGATTGGAGGTCACTAAAATTAGTGTTGCTTTGGAGTATAAATTTGACAAAACAATGTCCGACTCCGTAATTTTCACCTCACTGATCTGACCAGCGATGACAACTTTAACCGCATGTCGTCATTCAACCGCTGGTTGTCTAGATGGTGTCTTGAAAACAATGTGGGCTGCATTGATAATTGACAACCTTTTTGGGGGAAAACCTGGTCTGATTTGGGGAGACAGCATCCATCCCACATCGGATGGTGTAGTTCTTCTTTCATAGAATCTGTCTAAATGTTTTAGTCCTGCAAATCCCTGACAGACCAGGAAGCAGAGTCGCATTTTCACAGACCTCTCTGCAGATTCTCTACTGTTACCAACTCATTACTCCATCCTGACAGTGTCTTGCCCATGACCAAAAATCAAATAAAGTAGAAAAGAATCCTCAAGGAGAAAATCATGATAATGTAATTAAAACCAAAATCACTCCAATTGGGAAAAAAGTTAAAACTATTAAATGTGGTTTATAAGTTCTTTTTCTTTGAAAATCTGTGAAAATCAAATTGATTTATGTTGCCTTACAGAAACTTGGCTGCAGCAAGAGGATTATGTGAGTATAAAATAGGCAACTCTTTCTAGTTATTTAAATTTTCACATACCCAGAAATTCTGGGCGAGGAGGAGGAATAGCCACAATCTTTCAGATTTACTTACAGATTACTCGAAAGTCACTTAAAAATTACAACTATTTTTGAATTTTTTACCCCCTTGTTTCCCTCATCCAAATTTAAAAGCAACAAAACCTCTTCTTTATGTGAATTTTAATCATCCACCAGGTCTTTTTAGATGAGTTTTCATAGTTCCTATCTGATTTTGTGTTAAAGTACTGACAAGATAATCATAGTGGGAATTTTGACATCCATGCTGACACTGAAGGTGATATCTTAAATGAATTCATTCATTCATTAAATTCATCTTAGACTCGATTGGCTTTTTTCAAAATGTTAATAGTCCCACACATTCTTATCTTCATACTTTGGACCTCAAGCTTACATATGGCGTTGAATGTGAAAGAATAACAGTAATTTCTCACAACCCTGTTCTCTCTGATCAGTTCTTCTTCCCCCAAAGAATGTTTCACTTTAGCAGATAATTATCACATAATGCAGTCATACATTTTTAAAAATGTATGAGTCAGCACAACTATCGTCTTCATCTAAGCCTTCACCCTGCTTGTTAGATCCAGTTCAAACCAGGTTATTTAAGGAGGAATTCCCTTTGATTTCCTCCTCCATTTTAGATGTGATTAATGCATCTCTGGGTTACGTACCAAAGGCTTTTAAGGTTGCTGTAATAAAACCTTTGCTTAAGAAATCTCTTGAAAGAAATCTCTAATCTCTTGACCCAGATGGCTTTGTCTATTATATATATATATATATATATATATATATATATATATATATATATATATATATATATATATATATATATATATATATATATATAATAGACAAAGCCTATTATATAGAATATTATATATATATAATATTCTTTTCTTATTCTTAAGATAGTAGTTGCCAAACAAGTAAGCAGAGATGGGAAGTAACGAAGTACAAATCCTTCGTTACTGTACTCAAGTAGATTTTTCTGATATTTTTACTTTACTTTACTTCTTATTTTTATGGCGACTTTTTACTTCTACTCCTTACATTTTTACACAAATATCTGTACTTTCTACTCCTTACATTTTAAAAAATTGTCTCGTTACTTTAGTTTTGAATCATTTCATTGGAGTTAGCGTTATTATTTTTCACGTCATCAATACCAAATTCAATCTAATTGGATGGGAATCTACGTTGCATTTGACGCACCACTACAAGATGAATCGACAGATTCGGCGGTATTCATTGGCGGCAAATCATTGCAGCTTGGTGGCGGTGGCGTTAGCATAGTAGCATGGACGACGAGATGATTGAAAATGAACACAACGGAGATCTAGTCCTATTGGCAGACATCCATTTAAAATGTAGGCAACGGCATGAAAAAAGTGCTTTCTACTTTTACTTTTATACTTTAAGTAAATTTACAAGCCTGTACTTTGTTACTTTTACTTGAGTAAAGAAGTTTAATCAGTACTTCCACTTTTACCAGAGTATTTTTTAACACAAGTATCTGTACTTTTACTCAAGTACGGAAAGTGAGTACTTTTGCCATCTCTGCAAGTAAGTGACACTTATGCCATTATACACTTTTTTTTTAAAAGTTTCAATCTGGTTTTAGAGCTGAAACCAAACCATTACAAAGACTAGAGCCATGTCTTAATGACATTAAAATCTGGATTTCTCTCAACTTGCTGCCTCTGAATGAAGAAACCTACCTTGAGATGAGGTGTGCTGTGAATTGGTGCTATAAAAAATAAATTGAAACTGAATTGAATTGCTGCCTTCTAGTCCAGTTTATAGACACATTTAAGAGTAATGAGATGGCTCCTCATGCTGGTATAATGGAGTATTTGCAACTATTTATAGAAATACAAATTAACTCCTATAAATAGTCCCTTTTTCAAGATTTAATGGTTTGAAAATGCTGAGTTTTTAAGCATTTGTATTCAGTTTCAAACATTCAAAAACATTTTACTGATTCCAAAGGGAAATTAATATTCTAATGAGTTGTCATGGATGTCAATGGCTGCAGGAATATATACATATATATATATGTATATATATCACTCTCCTGTCACCAGTATTTGTTGATTCATAGATTAGTGAGGGGGAAAAAAACGCGTTCTAAGCTAGAGAAATGTCTTAAGGAGGATGACTAAGATGATTCTGTTGAACGCTGAGTTTAAATAAAAAAAAATAAGACGTCCATCAAATGCTTCCACAGCAGCTACACCAAATAACCACAGTTATTTGGCATTCGATTGGCTTCAGATTGCAATTTCTTCCCTTTTTAATTATCATTTAATAAGACCATGTGGTCTTGTTCATTTAAGTACATAAGTTACACATTAGAGGCCTGAGGTAGGTTGTGTTTATGATGAACAGTTGTTATTGCTTTTATCAATATCCCTAGCTCTGCAAACAGTTTCCCACATCTCACCTCGTGTTAATTCTTACCAGGTGGCCTCCTCCACCCTTTTAGTCCAAAAGATGGATGTTAGGTTAATAGGTTCCCCTGTGAATTACAATTAGCAAATGGTATTTCAAAGAACCTTGCATTTACAATGGTAAATGCAAGGTTATTTGTCCTGTGTGTCTCTCTGCAGGTTGCAAACTGCCTGTCACGTGATAAACCCAGAGATGGGAACCAGACAGGAGAAGTGAGTTTAAATAATAGATGGTTGAATGGAGTTATGGTTATCATCGTTTATATGTCATACAGAACACCAGATGCATAGAATAAAGAAAATGTTTCCTACCAAGAGCACGCCGAAGTATGTGAGATGGTCACAAGAACAGGTGATGTGCGTCTGATTATATTCGGCATCTTTACAGCCCTTTGTGCTTAGATCTAATGAATGAGAGAAAGAGAAACCTGTAGTAATGAAATGACTGCATTTCATCCACATCAGCCAATCAAAAGACTGCAAGGAAATGACCAAACAAGAGCCTCTTTGTTATAAAAGCTACTAATAAAACTGCTACTCACTGTTAGCTGTAGTATCTAAGAAGACACACTTAGGTTTCAGGGTGTCCTATAAAAAAAAGAAAAAAATTTATGCTGCTGATTGTAACATTGTTGGATGTATATAAGCTGTTGTAATAAAGGCAGGTGAATAAAATTATAGTTACATTTATGCTCGATGCAACATTTATGGTGATGTTGATTCGTTCCTGAAGTCCGGCAACAGGCCTGCCCACACTGATTCCAATGAGTCGGTGTTCATACAGGTTCCCCATGACCTCCATGGAAGTCTAAAAAATTTAAAAAAACTCAGGAATAAAAATCATATCGGTTCCAGTTCCAGTTCTTCTGGCTTTCAGTCTAAAAGCCAACGTCTGATAGATCAACACAGCGTTGTACTTTAGAGTATTTTTGAACTTGGTCAGTGGTTCTGAAGATTGAAGAGGAAGACATAAGACTGATGGGAAAGAAGATTCCAAGAAGCCGATCGGTTGACGAAGACGGTTGTTTCTTAGGAAAGTCCTGTAGAAATGTAGATAGTTTTCCAAGAAGCCATCTGAAGTCTATTCTTTTTAAAAGTCTCTTTTTAAACAATTCTTTTACTTTGTTCAAGCTGTTAAATACACTTAAAGATTTCATCTTACAGTAGGCAGCCATTCAAAATGGCCGAATGGCAGCCCACTTCCCTCCAACTTCCAGCGAAATCCCCCCCAACTTCCAGCCACTGCAGTGACCCCCCTCTTGCATTTTGTTTTACTCTGACTCCAAGCTTTCACTCAATTACAGGGTCCGACCAGGAGATGAAGCCTCTCTTTAGATCTTAATGTCCACAAATCATGACAGAAAGAATATTTTAGTACAAATATTAATGTTTTAAAAGTGATTTTAGGGGTCCAGCCAAGGGGCTCATCAAGGAAAGTGGGTAATTTTTTAATGGCTACTGCAGAAGAACATGCTTTTTGCTCCTAAATTTGGGTTATAGTTCCTTTTTATCATCCTAAAATAGTTTAATGATTGGATTATTGATTTTTTTTTAAGTGCCACTGTATTAATTCCCTGCCAAAAACTACTAATAAAGCATGTTAACATTTATACAGGAGTGTGAAATTTGGTTGAATCCCAAACCGTTCCCTAACCACTAACTGTCATGATCTGGCCTGAGCCTCTGGTTTATATTCAGTTCAGCCTGAATATTCAGGGCCAGATCATTTTTTGTTTTCTGTTAGTCTCTGTTTATTATGAAAAAAAAGAGCGACCTATATGAGAGTTTTATGTTAAAATAAGATGGAACGAAATGTTTCTAAATGCCTCTGATCTTAATCATGTTTTGTGGTTGCAATGATGATGACTTAGCATTTGCAGTGGCATGCTCATTTAAACTCCTTTACGTTGTATTCACATTGAGCCAGTGACCTCTCAAATGTACACAAATTCATTGATACACAGGTTGGTAGGCAAAGACATACATAACAATCCAAATCCTAATCTGAGTCAATATATGCATTTGAAATAGAATGTCAGCTTGTCAACACAACCATTGTCGTGTTCATAAATAGGTTTTTTCTTAAGAAGAACTGAAATACAGACTTATCGATACAATTCCTGCAGGAAGGAGAGACAGTTGAACCCCAGACTCAAACATACTGTCTCCAAATGGACCTCCTCGGCAGAGCGTTTATTAACAGAACATGACGCATGGTTACAAACAGAGTATTGTTCTGACAGAACAATTGATCAGTTCATGAAGACAGAATGCTCCATCAGAATGAAGGCAGGATGGTCTCCTGACTGGATCATGAGACAGGAGTGGAGCATCCCCTCGCACAAATGTTTCATAAGCACACATTAAAAGAATAGTACACCCAAAACATGCTTAGCCTTCATTTTCTACTCACCCCCATGCTGAACAACACTCTGGAGTACTTTTTTGATATCTCAAATGCATCTGGAGATCTGGGAGGCTTCTTGCTGTCTGCTGACATTCAAATAATGGAGGTCTATGGCGCCTGAGGCAGAAAGGTCCATAAAAGTCCACAAAAAACGTGTCAATATTCCTCCATTCTGCTCGTCCAATGTATTCCAAGTGTCCTGAGTGGGTAGCGTCCAGAATTCACTCGAAACAAAGTCATTTAGAATGTTTTTAGAGCATAAACAGTAGTGTATAGGATTTCCTAAAAGCTCGTTCACGAGTCTACGGACACCGCGGCAGACCAAACCAGATGAAAGTGCGCATTCAGCGTCTGCTCTGCCGATAATGCAAGCGTAGAAGAAGAAATGTGCCGTTTACCTGTGCAAAGAAAGAAACAACGAAAGAAAAATGTCTGAGGACTTCAGTGTTGAGGAAGAGCATGAGTTCTTTGCCGAGCTGAATGCGCACTTTCATCTGGTTTGGTCTGCCGCGGTTTCCGTAGACTCGTGAACTCGCAGGTGCGCGCTTTTAGAAAATCCTATACACTACTGTTTATGCTCTAAAAACATTCTAAATGACTTCATTTCGAGTAAATTATGGACGCTACCCACTCAGGACACTTGGAATACATTGGACGAGCAGTATGGAGGAATATTGACACGTTTTTTTGTGGACTTTTATGGACCTTTCTGCCTCGGGCGCCATAGACCTCCATTATTTGAATGTCAGCAGACAGCAAGAAGCCTCCCAGATCTCCAGATGCATTTGAGATATCAAAAAAGTACTCCAGAGTGTTGTTCAGCATGGGGGTGAGTAGAAAATGAAGGCTAATCATGTTTTGGATGTACTATTCCTTTAATTTTATAATCATCATTGAATAAACCCAACAACCATATCTATTAGGGGTGTCAACAATAATCGATTCAGCGATGCATTGCAATGCGGGGCATTCACGATTCAGCATCGATGCGGCAACATGCCATAATCGATTATGTCACTGTTTATTTTCTGGCCTCAAATGGACAAGTTGTGAAGTTTCAATTACTTCCGGGGCATACCAACAACAATCAAGATGGCTGAGGCGGAGGCAGATGACCGCGATAGACGGGTAGGCCTAATTAAAAACGCACCAAAAGCTTGGAAAGCGGATATCTGGGCACATTTCGGATTTTACGAAGTCAATGGGATTTTGATGCATCGCAATGCATCGTAGAATCGAATTGAATCGAATCGTTACCTGGTGAATCGTAATGGAATCGAATCGTGAGGGCAGTGCCAATGCACACCCCTAATATCTATTGGAACAATGCATACATTAGAATCTATAGCAAACAGTTCTTGATTATTAAGTTAGAAAATGTTTTTGTTTATAACTTTTTTTTGCAAATAACATCTTTGTTAGAATTATGAAGGTTAGCAAATTAATCTTTAACAAAGTTATATTCCCTCTATTGTAAAGGAAAGGGTTAAACCAGGATATTTTCAACTCGAAACTAAAACATTCTATTTATATATTTTTTTATTCTCTAAACAAATACAATCTGACTTCCTTGACATTGAAACCTTGTAATATCTAACCCAGTCTGAATTCCTCTGCACACTCATCTGCCACCTTTCAGATTATAATCAAATATTTGCATCGTGGGGAATTTTGTGTTTTCCTGGGAGTGACCATACGCCGAAACCGAATTATCAAACAATCACCGTAAAGTGAAGCAACTCTGGTAACAAAAATCTGCTAAAGGCCTCTAAATTATTTATTAATTCATGAAACTTGCATAATTTCATATGAAAATAATTTCCATTAGGAAAGAGATTCTTTGTTTAGTACATTTTTTTGTTTATTCCTTTAGAAAAACACATTTAAACTCTTCATATCAGCGTTTTCCAACCTTCTTATGCTGTTACATCATTACTGGCTTTTTCTCCAATAACATTTCCTTAAATAGCAACTTTGACCCTTTATTTTTTAACTATCATGGACAACCCAGACTCCTCTGCAGCTAATCCCACATTTTTCTCCCTTTTATAGATTTTGGTCTATGGATTTAGAAAGCTATAAAGCAAAGTTGATTTTTCTTATTAATATATATTTTTGTTGATCTTGCCAAACCTTTTTTAATCGTGTGATTATCCTCATGTTAATCTATAACCTTGTTTCATGATGGTTTATCTGCATAAAATAGGGCTTCAAAGAATAATCCCCTAATCTCAGAATTTTTACATTTTAATAAAAATAAAAAAAACTGCCTACCCATGAAATTATAAGTAAATTATAAGACATACACTATATTGCCAAAAGTATTTGCTCACCTGCCTTGACTCACATATGAGCTTAAGTGACATCCCGTTCCTAATCCATAGGGTTCAATATGACGTCGGTCCACCCTTTGCAGCTAGAACAGCTTCAACTCTTCTGGGAAGGCTGTCCACAAGGTTTAGGAGTGTGTTTATGGGAATTTTTGACCATTCTTCCAGAAGCGCATTTGTGAGGTCGCACACTGATGTTGGACGAGAAGGCCTGGCTCTCAGTCTCCGCTCTAATTCATCCCAAAGGTGTTCTATCGGGTTGAGGTCAGGACTCTGTGCAGGCCAGTCAAGTTCATCCACACCAGACTCTGTCATCCATGTCTTTATGGACCTTGCTTTGTGCACTGGTGCACAGTCATGTTGGAAGAGGAAGGGGCCAGCTCCAAACTGTTCCCACAAAGTTGGGAGCATGGAATTGTCCAAAATGTCTTGGTATGCTGAAGCATTCAGAGTTCCTTTCACTGGAACTAAGGGGCCAAGCCCAGCTCCTGAAAAACAACCCCACACCATAATCCCCCCTCCACCAAACTTTACACTTGGCACAATGCAGTCAGACAAGTACCGTTCTCCTGGCAACCGCCAAACCCAGACCCGTCCATCAGATTGCCAGATGGAGAAGCGCGATTCGTCACTCCAGAGAACGCGTCTCCACTGCTCTAGAGTCCAGTGGCGGCGTGCTTTACACCACCGCATCCGACGCTTTGCATTGCACTTGGTGATGTATGGCTTGGATGCAGCTGCTCGACCATGGAAACCCATTCCATGAAGCTCTCTGCGCACTGTTCTTGAGCTAATCTGAAGGCCACATGAAGTTTGGAGGTCTGTAGTGATTGACTCTGCAGAAAGTTGGCGACCTCTTCGCACTATGCGCGTCAGCATCCGCTGACCCCGCTCCGTCAGTTTACGTGGCCTACCACTTCGTGGCTGAGTTGCTGTCGTTCCCAAACACTTCCATTTTCTTATAATACAGCTGACAGTTGACTGTGGAATATTTAGGAGCGAGGAAATTTCACGACTGGATTTGTTGCACAGGTGGCATCCTATCACAGTTCCACGCTGGAATTCACTGAG